TAAGAAACTAAATTAGCCTAAATTAGCGCTTTGCTATGAAAATTTCCTCTTAGAGCCCTATATTATTAATAATTTACGCTAAATATTGGATATTTTGTCCCTTTCGCAAAAATGAACGATTTTAGCAAAGTAAGATTTCCGCAAAGTAGTTTACAATCAGTAAAAGCCTTATTGACCCTATTGATACCTTATTGGTACCCTATTGAGTATTATTGCTCTAATCGATACCCTATTGACCTCCTTTGGAGCCAAAGATAGGCGGCAATAGGGAGGTTCCCTATTGAACCTCATTTTACCTGTGTAAAGATCGCGGCTAAGTTCTTTCCAAACTTTGAGCGATGACTGCTCGATAACCACTGATCCAAGATCGATGAAAAATTTTTTATTTTAATTCTATGAATTCATAGAATATTCGTATAATTAATATTAGGTAGTTAGTTATCGAGATATCTTCGTTCAAAGTTTAAAAAAAGTTTAGACGATGATGGCTGCGGTTAAGTTCTTTTCAACTTTGAACGATGATATCTCGATAATTACCTATCCAAAATCGATGAAAAATTTTTTTTTGCTTTAATTCTATGTGTCCATAGAATTGAAATGAAGAAATCTTCTTCAATTTTGGATAGGTAGTTATCGAGATATCATCGTTCAAAGTTTAGAAAAGAACTTAATCGTGGTCTTTTAATTGAAATTTTTTTTTAAGCTTTAAACGAAAATATCTCAATAACTATCCGCCTAACATCGATAAACTTTTTTTATTTTAATTCTGTAAATTCATAGGAATAAATTAAAAAAATTTTTATCAATTTTGAATAGGTAGTTATCGTGATATCATCGCTCAAAGTTTGGAAAAAACTTGGTTATCAGAGACCGTCTATTTCGTCCAATCAGAACATAGTTCGAGTAGAATCTCAAGTCTATCTATTAGAGTCGAACTTGTACACTATACAGATATTCGTATTACCTATTTAGACTGACTGGGTCACACAACTAACGTACAGTACTATATCGATATACGTTTTTTATACGTTGTAAGTTATATTACACGTCCGTGCGAAAAAAAAAGAAAGCTAAATTTGATCTTAAAATGGCTGACGATCCTTGGGACGACTGGGAGGCTGCTGCTGACGCTGGTGTAAGAACTCATCATATTTAAAACCAGTATTGGACATAACAAATTTCACAAATTTCTAAATATATACCTTTTTTTTTTTAAATAGCTCGAGCCAAAGCCTGTTGGGACACTTGATGACCATGAAAAAAATAAACAAATATGGCAAGAAGCGTACGCAATTATGTTCTTTAAACTTATTTCTATCTAGTGTTTTCAAGTTGATTTAAAACATATTTTAATTGATAGAAATTCTTACGTGCAGCCAGAAATTACTCGTACAGATTCAACTAGAACGGAATACGTACCACAAGTATATTCCAATTATTTATATAAACCGTCAATTTTATTCATTAAAAATTATTTAATATTTACATTGTGTTTTTTTAATACCGATCAATCACTAATTTGGAAAAATCAGCTTCGAATTTTAAAACGTCCCAAGAATCCTGGATCTACAACTACTACACATCCTTCTCATTTACCGATAAATTCTAACGCCACTTTCATCAGTGATTCCGGCAGCTTTTCAATAAATTCAAAGCAAACTAAATCATTGGCTGATCGTGAAGCGGAATATATCGCTGCAAGACAAAAAATCTTTGGACATACTGATGGCGTTGAAAATAATAACGGAAATATTGGTGGTGGAATCACTGGTGATGGCGGTGAGTGTAAAACTCAAAAGGGAAAGGTAATCGAAGATAGTAATAAGAATTCTACTATATTGACTGAAAAGATACAAGAGGCAGCTAAGTGAAATGTTATTTATTCTTAATAATTAAATAATAAGGCAGTTTCGCTAATTTTGTAAAACATTGTCATAAATCAGATTGCATCGTGATAATATAATAATAAATAATAAATAAATAACAAAATTTGCATTATCCTTGTTATATATTTACTAAAATTACATACATGCATGTTATTACAGAAATTAAAGATTGGAAGCAAATCGGATACCATTTCAAAATATTATCGGTCTAATAATGTCATCAGAACGCTCTTCTGCACTGTGAATCTCATCATCGCTGTTACTCAAGCTTTCGTCCTCCTGCACCTGATCGAATAAGTTTTTTTTGTGACAATAGAACGTTTATTATCATCTGATGTTAAAAGTTCGCTACCAGATTCAGATACTGTCTGCTTATTACTAATTGCTCCCAATTTTGTTGATTTCTTTCTCTTTTGATGATACCTTATTTTGTGGATCTCCCTCTTTTTGTAGTGTAGATCGTTTAGCATATCTGTAAGTAACGACACAGAAGATCCTGAAGTTGGTGATTGATTGCTATTAGAAGTAATGAAGTAGGTGACATGGAAGGTGATTCTGTTCCATTATTGTTTAATGATGTATATGGCTCTGACGTAGATACAATAGTGTTGATACTCAAACTACTAATATTCGCTTTAAACCTTCGTGCATCGGATTAAAAATTATCTCCCTGAACGATTAGAGATTATTTTTTTTTTCAAAATAATATTTTGGACATTGATGCCATCCTAGTCCTCCTAACAATCGAGTCAGATCGGGTTTGGGATCATTTCAGAACCAACCCGAGTTAGACTCGGGTTTCACACATTTGCAAATTTTGCGAATTTTCAAATAAATAATAATCATTTTGCTATTATTAACATATTACGCAAATCTTACATGATTATAAAAAAATAAATAACAGTAATTTAATTTATTTAATTAAAGCAAATAAGAATTAATGGGGTACTGGTGGTGATGGGATCCAAAATCCTGACACTCAAAATCCCGACATTCAAAATCCCGATAGTAAAATCCCAACAAGTTAAAATCCCGATAAAAAATCTCGAAAATACGGTATTTGGGGGATTTTTGTTGTCGGAATTTTAACTTGTTGGGATTTTATTATCGGGATTTGGATGTCGGTAGAACCCCAGTGAATGTTTATCAACAAAAGCCTATTCATTTCTGAAAAAGAAAATAGGATCTTTTAAATCCCACTTATTTCTGAACAAAGTTAATTCTGAAACCCCCTAATAGATTAATTTTCTTGTAACTACATTTTAGCAATCCAATTTCATACAATTTTCTTCTTTCCGAAAATATGATCTAAAGTTCATTACCATCGAAAGTATACCGATATTAGTTGCATGAGCAATTGGCGCATAATTATTTTTTATAAATAGCAAGAACGGTTTCTCTAATGCCATCAATAAATCTATTATTCCAATTATTTCTTCGTAGTAATTCAAATTTAAACGTGGACCATAGCAACGTCGCAACAGAATACAGTATGTAGTACTATAATTTGTTCCCTCATATGCTTTTCATTTGTTTAAGCCTGCATTTATTGCAATATATGGGCTGCCGTCAATAGAAATCAAGCAGATTAACATTTTTAAAAAAATTAATCCCTTAACTTTTATAATTTATATCCCAGGTTATCTTGACGAATTAATATTCAAAAGAAAGCTTAATATCTAGACTTTCTTTTGAATATCAAGTTATCAGGATAGCCTCAAAATTCATCGAGATATAAGTTGTGAAAGTTAAGAGATTAATTTTTTTTAAAATGTCGATCTGCTTGATTTCTATTGACGGCAGCCCATATAATTGAAGTATTGGAATTATTATGATACATTGATTAAATAATTGTAAATCATAAGCTACAGTATCTTAATCTTCGTATAAATATCTTTGACCCATTACTATTTTGTTAATTTTTCCATTCATTGTCTTTACGCTTTAAGCTTTTTATTTAAGTATATAATTGCATCCAATGCCTCATGCATCTCTAATGCTCGTGCAAGCATATCATATGTAGGGTTCCATCTCGTCCTAATATTTAAAACAAGATTGGCATCTTTTAAGTCCGGCTGTTTTACTTGACGTGCAAATCGTTCTCGAAGTTGTGAAGTTCTGCGATTACATCGAAAATGAGATTCGGTAGCATTAAATAAGATATTTTAAGATATTTCATCTACATATATTCTCCAAACATCGTTGTTCGTGGCATTATTACTAGTGATAGCAAATATATCTGTTAAGATTCCTAGTTCGCGACAGCTTTTATTACATAGATTCTCTCCAGAATAGTGTTCCGATTCGGATTAAATAAAACTCGAGATTGAGCCGAAACCGACTAAATCCGAAAATCCGAAGCTGTATTTAATGGCTAAATATTTCAATATGGGAAATCCGAAACTTTTGGCCCAAACGATTTTACGGTTCAGATTACCGAATCCGTCGGATCCGGTTTTAAAATCAATTAAGATGTCTTTAAGTTACCAATTTTCTGTAATGATGGCAAGAAATGAATGATATCCATGTATATATAGGGTGTTCAATAAACTAATTGATCAAAACTTAGTTAGGGTCATATATGATGAATGATCATTAATTTCAGATTTTTTAAAGGGTTATTTCACATATAAATTTGTACTAATTTAGGTCCTTTTATTTTATTTTTTTTTTAAATATTAAAGGTGAGACCATGCTCTTTTAGGTACATTTTTCTACACAGCCAACAAACAAAATTGTATATGTTTTTTTTTAAAACTGTAGTTCTAGACTAGCT